TAAAAGAGTGCATTTACTCAGCTGTTGGAAAATCTTCCCCCTGCCTCAAAGGGGGAGAGTCTGATGGTGCTGCAGTGGAACCCACAGACGTTACAACTGTCCAGGTTCCAGCTGAACCACAAGGGCAGTCACAGCCAGCAGCTGTTGCCCCTGTGGAAACGAGTAAGTCTAAGATAAAATCACAGCACCCTGTTGATAAGGATAAGAAAGGAGGGCCCTCACAACCCACAGGGGAGCCAGAGGTTGAAATCATCACCGAGTCCCTGATGTATGAGAGTCTCCGTAATCTGCAAAAAGACATTGTGAGGCGGGGGTGTGAGCCTTATACAACCTGGTTACTTCGGGTCTGGGACCTTATGGGTACAGATGTGCAACTAGATGGTGGTGAGGCAAGGAATGTGGGACCCTTGACCGAGGACTCAGGTGTGAATCAGATATCCATCAGGGAGCCAGGGCCCCTTTCCCTCTGGGAGCAGCTTTTGATAAGTGTAAGAGAGAGGTTTGTCCACAGACAGAGAATGCAGGAGCACCATCACAGAATGTGCTGGAAAACCCTTGAGGAAGGGATCCAACAACTGTGAGAAGTGGTGGTATCTGATGTCCTTTTTGGGAAGGGTGGACAGCATGATAATGACCCCGACAAAGTCAGGTGCACTGGGCAGATGTTGTGGAGTCTGGCAAATCTAGGGCCACGTGACTACACCACCTATATTGCAACGATTAATGCCGATAACAGCCGAGAGACGGTGGGTTCTGTCACCACCAGGCTTAGAAATTTCCAGAGTATAATCCATGGCCCAATGAAGGCTCATGTCTCTGCTGTGATTAAGGAACTCAAAAAGTAGGTGAGGGAGATAAAGGAAGAGATGAGGAAGAGCAGTTCCTATATGGCACCAGTGTGAGTCACAAGCCCCAAACTCCAAGCCCAACATCTCCCAGCTAGAGAGAGAGGGTACACCCCACGAGCTGAGCTGTGGTTCTTTCTGTGTGACTATGGGGAAGACATGGGAAAGCGGGATGGGAAATCCACTTCTGGTAGCACAGGTGGGTCAGCTCAGGGAGGGAACCACGAATCAGAAAAGTTCCACTAAAGTGAAGGTGGCCTCAACCTCCTGTGACCAAACTGCCAGACATTACAGAAAAGAGGATAATCTGTCAGATCCCCTTGAAGGAACCTCTAGCATGTATGCCCAGGGAGGAGAGGATGACCAGTGCTAGAGGGGCCCTGCCTCTAGCCAGGAAGAGGCACGGGAAAACCGGGTCTTTTGGACGGTGTGGATCCAATGGCCTGGCACATCAGAGCCACAAAAATACGAAGCTTTAGTTGATACTGGGGCACAGTGTACCCTAATGCCATCAGGACATGTGGGGGCAGAACCTGTTTCCATTGCTGGGGTGATGGGGGGATCGCAGCAATTGACTCTGTTGGAAGCTGAGGTGAGCCTGACTGGGAAGGAGTGGCAGAAACATCCCATTGTGACTGGCCCAGAGGCCCCATGTATTCTGGGCATGGACTTCCTTCGAAATGGCTATTACAAAGACCCAAAGGGACTCAGGTGGGCTTTTGGAATAGCTGCTGTGGAGGCAGAGGACATTAAGCAATTGAACACCTTGCCTGGACTATCAGAGAACCCATCTGCAGTAGGACTCCTGAAAGTAGAAGAACAGTGAGTACCAATTGCCACCTTGACGGTGCATCGCCGACAGTATAGGACAAATCAAGATGCTGTGAACCCCATCCACAAGATGATCTGGGAGCTGGAGAGCAAAGGGGTGGTCAGCAAAACCCACTCACCCTTCAACAGCCCCATCTGGAGCAAGTCTGACAGAGAATGGAGATTGACTGTGGACTATCGTGCATTGAATGAAGTGACTCTACCACTGAGCGCTGCTGTGCCGGACATGCTGGAGCTCTAGTACGAGCTGGAGTCCAAGGCAGTGAAGTGGTGCGCCACTATTGACATTGCCAATGCATTTTTCTCCATTCCCCTGGCAGCAGAATGCAGGCCTCAGTTTGCCTTCACGTGGAGGGGAGTGCAGTACACCTGGACTGCCCCAGGGGTGGAAGCACAGCCCCACCATCTGCCATGGACTGATCCAGGCTATACTGGAAAAGGGTGAGGATCCAGAACATCAATGACATCATTTTGTGGGGGAACATGGCAGTGGAAGTATTTGAGAAAGGAGAAAAGATCATCCAGATTCTGCTAGAAGCTGGCTTTGCCATCCAGAAAGTGAAAGGACCTGCTTGAGAGATCCAGTTCCCGGGGATAAAGTGTCAAGATGGATGGCATCAGATTCCCACCAAGGTCATCAATAAGATCACCACAATGTCGCCACTGACCAGCAAAAAGGAAATGCAAGCTTTCTTAGGCACCATAGGTTTTTGGAGGATGCACAAGCCAGATTGTGAGCTTTCTCTACCTGGTCACCCAAAAAAGAATGATTTCCACTGGGGCCCTGAACAGCAACAAGCCTTTGCCCAGATCAAGCAGGAGATCGCCCATGCAGTAGCTCTTGGCCCAGTCAGAACAGGACCAGACGTGAAGAACGTGCTCTACTCTGCAGCCGGGAGCCACGGTCTGTCCTGGAGCCTTTGGCAGAAAGTGCCTGGTGAGACTCGAGGCCGACCACTGAGATTCTGGAGCCGAAGCTACAGAGGGTCCGAAGCCAACTACACTCCCACGGAGAAGGAAATCTTTGCCACCTATGAAGGAGTTCAAGCCATCCCAGAGGTGATTGGCACAGAAGCACAATTCCTCCTGGCACCCCGACTACCAGTGCTGGGGTGGATGTTTAAAGGAAAGGTTCCTGCTACCCACCACGCCACTGACACTACATGGAGCAAGTAGATTGCCCTCATCACACAGCACACCCATATTAAAAACCTGAATCACCCTGGGGTTTTAGAAATAATTACAAAATGGCCAGAAGGTGAAAAATTTAGTCTCACTGATGAAGAAGAGCAGGAAAAAGTGACACACGCTGAAAAAGCTCCACTGTGCAACCAAATGCCAGCAGAAGAAACACATTATGTTCTTTCACTGATGGTTCCTCTCACATCGCAGGGATAAACTGGAAGTGAAAAGCAGCCGTATAGAGCCCCACACAACAGATCTCAGAAGCTACTGAAGAAGAAAGTGGATCAAGTCAACTTGCTGAACTCAAGGCTGTTCAGCTGGCCCTGAACATTGCTGAAAGAGAAGTAGCCAAAACTGTACGTTTATACAAATTCATGGGTGATAGCCAATGCTCTATAGGGTTGGCTAGAAAAGTAGAAAAAGGCCAGCTGGAAGTGTAGGGAGAAAACAATCTGGACTGCTAATAAGTGGAAAGACATTGCCACTTGGGTAGAGAAGCTACCTGTGAAAGTCTGTCATGTAGATGCCCATGTCCCCAGGAGTCGGGCTAATAAGGTTCACCAAAACAATGAGCAAGCAGATAAGGCTGCAAAAATAGAGCTGTCACAAACAGACTTAGATTGGCAACATAAGGGCCTGTTGTTCTTAGCTCAATGGCCCCATGATGCCTCAGGTCATCAGGGTAGAGATGCCACCTATAAGGGGACACGAGACCAAGGGTTGGATCTAGCCATGGACAGCATTTCTCAGGTTACCCATAACTGTGAGATGTGTGCTGAAATCAAGCAGGCCAAGTGAGCAAAACCCCTGTGGAGTGGTGGACAATGGTCCAAACATAAGTATGGGGAGGCCTGGCAGACTGACTACATCACACTGCCTCAAACTTGCCCAAGGCAAGTGCTATGTGCTGACCATAGGGAAAGTCACCACTGGACAGTTGGAGACCTACCCTGTGCCTCATGTTACTGCTCGGAACACCATCTTAGGCCTAGAAAAACAAGTCTTGTAGAAACATGGCACCCCTGGGAAAATCAAGTCAGACAACAGAACCCAGTTCAGGAACAGCCTTATAAACACCTGGGCCAGAAAACATGGTATTGAAAGGATATATCATATCCTTTATCATGCACCAGCTGCTGGGAAGGTTGAACAGTGCAACAGACTGCTTAAGACTACCCTGAAGGCACTTAGCAGGAAGACCTTCAAAAATTGAGAAATTAACTTAGCAAAGGCCACCTAGATAGTCAACACCCGAAGGTCCATCAATCAAACTGGTCCTGCCCAGTCTGAACCCTTCCACACAGTAGATAAAGTCCCTGTGGAACATATAAAAGGTATTTTAGGAAATACTGTTTAGATTTGTCCCACCTCAGGCAAAGGCAAACCTATCCATGGGATTGTTTTTGCTCAAGGACCTAGTTACACTTAGTGAGTAATGCAGAAAAATGGAAAAACCCGTTTTGTACCACAGGGAAACCTAACCTTAAGCAAGAAATGTGTGAAGAGTTTCATTGTGTATAAAGCAGAGTTTAAAAAAAGTATTGATCTGGATATGATGCAGATAGTAATAAAATAAGGAGTGGATAATGTCTTGCATTGTCAATGCAAGATGTAACCAAAAAGTATGTATTCTATTACTCTTTGTTGAAACCAGGTGGGGGAGTGTTCTTTATCTCTTCCACAATCCATCTTCCCTCCAAGGAGATATCTTCTGTTAATGGGCCATTCAGAGTCACTGCATGACTGATAAAATGACATCATTCCATTGTGAGATGCTCCAGCCAGGGGGAGCCTAGCATTCCTACCTGGATATCTTTGGAGACTCAAAACATCACAAGCAGCTTTTCTCTACTAGATCCCAGAGGAGAGACCAGACCCATCTACACCACCACTGGACCTTCAGAGGAAAACTACGCCCCTCTACCAACCCACTGGGTTGTGGGTTTTTTGTTGATTTTTTTTTCTGATTTTCTTTCTGTCCTACTGCATTTTTATTTTAATTTCCTTAGTAAAGAACCGTTATTTCCTATTTCCATATCTTTGCCTGAGAGCACCTTGATTTTGAGATTATAATATTTTGAAGGAGAGGGGGAGTAGTTTACATTTTTATTTATTTCAAGGGAGGTTTCTGCCTTCCTTAGCAAACACCTGTCTTTCAAACCAAGACGCTTCCGTAACTAAGAATTTTAACCCTGCTAATAAATGGTAACACTGCAATCTGCAGCATGGTGCCACACAAGGAGATCTTGAGTTTCATTTGCTTCTTTAATTGCCTAGAAAAAATAAAATTATTAAAACATGTGAGGTAGCAAGTTATGAAACTTGTAAAATAAGGATTCTGAGATAAGGAATTCAAGTTGCCTTGTGGAAAACCAAAATATAATTGCATAACTGAAGTCGGTGTCATAACAACTATAAAATAGAGCTCCCTCAAAGCAGCTACAGAGATTTTGACTTTTGCAACTTTCATAATGTTCTTTTAAGTTTCCTGTGCACGTGTAGTAGAACACAAGCACATTTGAATCTCCGATTAAGTATTTGAGAAAGGCTGAGAAAAAAGGAGAAAGAGACATGTTTTATAGGTATAAACAAGCAACAAAAGGCACCATAGCTGAAAGAGAATGAAATGAAAGGCGCTTACATCATGCAGCTTTCCTGCAATAAAACTCTAAACACACCAAGGATTCTTGAATATTCCCTTGAGGTTGCTTATTGGCACCTGCAAAGAAAAAAGAACTCTTTGTATTATATTAATTATAATGTCTCTGTACCACTACAAATAACGCAAAACTACTTGTTTTTTCACTCTGAGGGAGAAAGGGAATAGTCTGTACCAGTCAGCTTTTTAGAATAACTATTATATAAATTACTTGAAATTCCATTTACAGAATTAATTTACTGTGCTTAGAATTTGATTGAATAGTATAAATTTAATAACATTTTAACCATTGATTAGGGAAAATACGTGAAGTTTGCAAAAGATGGTCTAAGTCAACAGAATCACTCTGCTTTTATAGGAAGCGGACTTTGGTGTGGTAACTAAATTCATTATCAACAAACTCATGGAGGAGACATTTCCTTTTACGGGTATATCTACTTGGAGATTCTGGTCTTGGATAAAGTGAGTTTGACTGGAGCAGGCTGGAGCTGCATTTGCAGAGTGGACTTCAGAGAATTACCAGGTTTGTCACCAAGGGGATGATAGATGATAATCAGGCTGCCATGTTGGTCACAGCCTGGCTCAGAGCAAAATACTGAACCAGTTAGTTGCTCAAATAAGTTGGTCTCAATAGAAGTGATTTTCTTTAGATTGGACCTGAAAATAAGAGGCCCTCCCTTTGCTACTCTTCATATCACCAAAGCCAAGTGGATTGATGAGTAGGATCTGCACTTCTATTTGCACTTGTGAGGTTGAGCATATGCATGATGGGAAGTTTTTTGTGTTGTTTGTACAATAATTATTCCCACTTTTCTCCAAATAAAGGATAGTTGTACTCATGTTTTCAAAGGATACTGTAGATGGAAAAAAGTAATTTATAGCAATAACTAGCAAGGTTTAGTTTCAATTTCCAGAGCCAAAAATTAACTGCATAGAATGGAAGTGGCAGGCTCTAGGATTTAGTTATTTTGTTTTTAAGACAGAGCAATAGGATTAGCTCATTTCAACCTTTGTTGCTAGCTCTGGCACATAGCAGAAGGGACATACTGCAGGACATAGTGAGACTGAATTAGCAGCTCTTTTCATCAGAAACTAGTGATTTAATTGTGGAACATGTTCATTTTTCTTTGTTTTGAAACTGTTATAAGTTTTATATATATATGATTTATGTGATACACAATATGCTTATCTTGCAGCAGATGACACCTTGGAGGATAACTGCAACTGAATGTGTATTATCAAAAGAATCCCTTCTAGATCATAATTACAGAAACTTACAAGAAGAACAGAACCAAATATTTTTTGTGGAAGTTGTAAATTGGTTGAGCAAAAGGTAGGCTCACTTGGGGATGAGGAGGAAAATGTTTACACCAATTATCATGGGTTGTCAGCAATACTGCAGGCTCTCTAAAATACCCGTGGATATTAATCAGTTTTAGAAAATGGTTCCACTACAGTAGTTGCTCCAAGTGAGTAAAAGCCCACTTAATTAGATGCAAAAAACTGAACACCGACACATTTGAAAGGTTTGTTGAGCTATAACTTGAAAGCAGATTCAGTGGATACTACTGTATCACAGAATGAGTTAGAAAAGACTTCAGGGAAAGTGTCAGAACAAATTGTACAGTCCTTTTTGCCAAGTGTCATTATTTTCTTTCTGTCATTATGAATGCATTGCATTATCTGGTAAAATAGTTTGAATGTGTCACCAGGTATGTCATCCCCACCTGCACTTGGAGATTATGTCTGAAAAGATCAACAGAAATTCTCTAAAGAGCAAATTTCACATTATTCACACTTTGAAAACCAGAAATGTCAAAGCTATTTGCCACAAGTATATAGCAGCTTGGTAGTGTGGACAGTGATGGAAATCTCTATTACATATTTCTCAATTCACTCTATACATAGCAAAAGTACAAAAAAGCCAGTGTGAAAAGAATCTTAGTAAAAAATTAGCTATATCAGATGTAATTTGAAAGGTTTGGGGTTTTTAAAAATTAATTATTTAGTTAGGGTTGCAAAAATAACGAAACTTATGTAATCTAACTCAAGTGCATATATAAAATAAACTAAATTAAAACATGCTTTCTCAGCGAAATCACTTGGAGTGGTGGCAGTGTGGGATTCCACTATATTGTTAGTGAATACTGAAGTGCAACTATATTGCTCTAGAATTTAATGGACTAAGTTCCTGACATCAGAAGATACATCACCTACTGTTTAAGATGCCACAGTCTAAACAGGAGAAAAGTATATGGAACTTTATTCCTCAAACCACATTTTGAAAAAGATTATATTTTTTTTCTGTGTATAACAATAGTGATAATCACTATTATAAATTATAATATTTTTCTCTTCAGGTTGAAAGGATCTTGAAAAGATCTTTAAAAGGTCTTGAAAATAATTACTTTAACACCATTTAAAAGAGAATAACAGCCTCTTGCAACAGCCAGGGGAAAAAAAAAAAGGAGTCTTAAAGAGTCAAGGAGGTCCTCAAAACTTAAAAGTGCCTGAAAACTCTATTCACAGTGAAATCTGACTGACAATGTTCATCTCTGAATGCAATCAAAGCTGACCAGTCTTAGTCTTTTAGACCAAGGTTCCACTTCCATTTTAAGTCTAGTGCTCATCAATATCTTCAAAAACTGCTTAAGCACAGGACTTGAAAGAATACTAAGTTTGCCAACGACACTAAATTGGGAGGGACTGTTGACTCTCTTGAAGGCAGAGAGGCCTTTCAGGAAGAACCTGATAAATTAGAGGACTGGGCAATCCCCAATTGTATGAAGTTCACCAAGGGAAAGTACTGGATTCTGCACCTGGGATGGGGCAGCCCTGAACATATGGACAGAGTGGGGATGAGAGGCTGGAGAGCAGCCCCATGGGAAGGGACCTGCGGGTCCTGGTCGATGACAAGTTGAACATGAGCCAGCAGTGCCCTGGCAGCCAGGAGGGACAGCCCTGTCCTGGGGGGCATCAGGCACAGCATGGCCAGCCAGGCACGGGAGGGGATTGTCCCTCAACTTGAGTACAGGGGAAAGTTTTGGGTGATACCATATAAGAAAGACATGGAAGCTGTTGGAGAGCATCCAAAGGAGGTATACAAAGACGGTGAAGGGCCTTGAGGGGAAGCTGTATGAGCCATGCCTGAGGTCACTTGGTCTGTTCAGCCTGGAGAAGAGGAGACTGAGGGGAGACCTCATTGCAACATTCTCATGAAGGGAAGAGGAGGGGAAGAGACTGATCTCTTCCCTGTGGTGAAGTGACAGGACCCAGGACTCCAGAATGGTCTGGAATTGTCAGGGGAGCTTTAGATTTGATATCAGGGAAAAGTTCTTCATCCAGAGGGTAGTTGGGTACTGGAACAGGCTCCCCAGGGAATTGGTCACAGCACCAACCTGACAGAATTCAAGGAGTGTTTGGACAATGCTCTCAGGCACATGGCGTGACTCCTGGGAATGGTCCTGTACAGGGCCAGGAGTTGGACTTGATGATCCTTCTGGGTCCCTTCCAACTGTATGATTCTATGATTTCATACCTGTAATTACTACTGGCACTAATAGAAACACTATAGAGATACATTCACTTGATTTTGTTGCATGCAGGAGAGAAGAGCTGAGAACAAATTTAAGCAAAGCTGACATGGGTCTACATTACAGGATTTGTTTCAGGATTATGACCACAGAAGACGAGGTGATTAAAGAAGCCCAAAACACCCCAAGAAATTACAATCTGATCTTTCAGATTTTGTGTGTTAGTTGAGACATAGAAATAAATTACACTGATGCTTGATTACCATTTGTCAATAATCCAAAAATTTAAATTTCTCATCAACTTTTACCTTAGTAGACCTAACCACAGACAGAACCTGAAATTCTACAGAGGAATGGAATTGTTTTCCCTCTTTCCAGGCATATGATTGTTTTCTGAATTAATATCCATGTGGAGACTTTGAATTTTTGCCAATTACTTCCCAAAAAACATTTATAATTCCCCAACAAGATTTAAATAGAAATTGCATTTCTTCAGCAAGCCTGAATCAGCAGGACATCAGTCTACATGTTGAAGACTATTTATAGTGAAGGGGAAAATCTGTGTATGTGCATAGGTGTCTTGCTTTAAGGTTTATATTCTACTGAAAACAAAAGTTCTTCTCTTTATATTCTAGAATGCAAACCAGATTTTTACCTTGGGCTGCTCTTCAAAACCCAAAGATCCTAACAACCATGCAAACACTGCTTTAAATATTTTTCACTGTGTCAAGAGTTGCAGAGAGTATGGTTATTAATCTTCAGCTTCATAAATTTCCCTCATGCCCTGAGATTCCAAAGTAGCTAACAGGGTCAAAAATTCTACTTAACCAGCTGGACAGAAAACAAATCTATGTACCTTATTCACTGCTACATTTTCATCAGCAGCAATGTAACTGTGTTTCATGTTACTGAGAAGGTACCCACGCTGGAAGATGGCAAGGTCTTCTGTGGCCAGAATAAACAAGAACGTGGAAAGTGGAATTTGAAAATATCTATATATTTATCTTCATTAACTACTGTGTTGTTTCATCTATGTTGAGAAAATACCTACAGCTGTTCTTCTCTTCAGCTTTCTTTCAGAAAACTAGTATTATATTTCCTTATGTGACATTTCCCTGATAACACTGAACATATGTTTTGAGTGACCTTAGAATATCAGATAAATGCAAAAGTATTGTAGTCAGTTCTTTCATTCATGTGCCTGTGTTTATTTTATTTTTGTCAGATATTGTTTTCTTCTTACACAATGTAATAGGAATGTGACAGTGACAACTGCGGGTGTGTCTTTGAATAATTTTTCATGCTGAATTTGGATCTATCTTTATTATGAGGTTTCTGTACTATACATAAGGCACTGGACATGTAACTTTCAGATCTTGATGTGAATTTTCACTTCCAGCCAAGTGACAGACATAGACATGTGAACACCTGGGTTAACCTTCTGTGGATGAGCGTATTCCTGCAATGGAGCAGTACTATCATTAATATCCCACTGATTTTTGAACTCACTCCTGTAAGTCAGGTTAT